ATTATTCATCAGTATTGTTATCATTATGAAACATTAATTAATTAATTACAAAACTGATTGTTTCATCAACTGGCAACGCAGGATTCGATTTGAACAAACTCTCTATTACCATCTGTTAATAGCAGCTTTCCCATTGCCATTAATGTCAGTGTTAACGTGACCGATTCGAATGTACCAGGTATACTAGGTATACCAGTACACCTATCAACCACTATGTATATCATTCTGTGTCCCAACGCTCAACAGATCATGGAAAGCAATCCTAGTCCTCACTCACTACAATAGAAAACAGACTGATGTATCATAAAAATGATTAAACGCCAATAAACGAATGGAAACAAATGGTAGCACATAATTCAAGATTTCATTCATCAGTGGAATTACTTAATTATATTATCGTTATTTGAATTTCTGCTTTTGATTCAATGAAGTCTCTATTGCTGTAGAGTGGATAAGAAGATGGTACCGTTAAGCGATTACTATGCCAGGACGGTGCACTGGTAAGGAATGTGGGTGGGAAGCATTCGTCTCTGCCATTGTCTCATTTTCTTCCTACCTATCAAACCGGCCTATATCTTTTCACTACACATTAGGCATTGCGTATTCCTGATACATCACACGATAGCGGCTATTCTCTACCATTAAGATTGCAAATCTTCTCATTAGAGTCTCTATTGAGTCTACTATATCATTGTATGCATAATCATAACATAACAGTAAGTACTGTCTACGTAATGAACGTATTTAAACTAGTTGGATTTAATGTGTCTTATATATGTTCTTAACAGGATTTCAGGTTGCTAATGCAAATAGGAATGAACGTAAAGTACATTTCCAGTTAATTAAACCTGAATTCCTGGAATTCTTTTACGATTTACTAGAACGAAGATACAAAGAGGGTATTATGTGAACTGTAGGACACTTTTTGCAGAGCTCGAAATCTGGGACATCTGTTTCTTGTAACATTTTCATTGGAGCAGAGGAATTCCAATATGAATACAAGAAGATTTGTAACAGCTAAAGCATCTGGGTGTTTCCCAGTGTCCTAGAATTTTCCAACGACCACGTCGCGACACCACACCTTACGCCTCCCCACTTTTACTGTTTGTTATGCTTATCGACCTGTTGGCCGCCGATATACCGTATTTGGAACGCTTCTTTAACGAGTCAAACTTAAATGGCTTCGAAACTAGACGAGCCTCGCTCGTTCCCGTTACAACTTTTTAATGTCCACGACCAATTCATTTGCGAATAGACGAATCAAACGTCTCTTATACGGCACGTTCGTTTAAATAAAATCCACATTAAATCATATCAATTATTGAATGGAAACTGCATTTTAAAAATGCATTCAGATATCCGAGTTTAATACAACTCGAGCACAGAGAAACAATTTTAAGGATTCTTGTATGAAGAAAGATTCTCGACCACTCACCATGTTTTGATGAAACCGCAAGCTACCGGATCTGCGAAGCGTTCCGCTGCGGATATTCATGTCCGCAAGCTCGACTTGTCTTCCGTCGCTGCCACCGCGTCTCGACAATTCCGACAATTCGGCAACCGGTTGCACCTGCGAACAAACCGCAATTTTCCATTTTTAGAAAATATATTCGTATCAATACAACATAATCTATAAACTCTTCGAATTTGTTTTGCATAAATGTTCCGTATCAATGAAAGAGTGTCCGGTTCTTTTGATCAATTCTACGCGCGTCGGGCCGGAACGGAAGAGGAATTGAAATAACGGAGCTCGTGCCTAAGCGTACGCATATTTAACAGATTAGACATCGCATAACGGATGCAAGCGTTTGCTTTCAAGTCTCGCGCGCTCGTCAAGATTAAACGGGTCCTCTCCTCAGGAAACAGGATGTGTTCTCAGATTGCGAGAAAACACCTGCGAGCGATCCTAACAGTAAGGAAACGGTTTCGTTTATTATTTGCACGCAACGCTAGTAAGTGAACGTGAACGAAGATGCACATTTTCGAGTAAATCGCGTTAAACTAAGGCCGAGGAGGAGAATCAGGGCATGAACCCGTGTACCCAAGAATCTGATCGATACACGCGTCGTTGTCGTTAAGCTCGCAAACCGGAATTGGAAATGTTCCAACGCGAACTTTATTCTTTCCCTTTTTCTATTACAACCAGATTTTGTAACGCGTTACGTCTAAGGAAACATACTGCAAGAAACCTAGAAAGTGTTTTGCAGAATAAAATTAAATAATTAGGAGTCATGCGTTTGCTAATGAAAACTATATACCGGGG